ACGGGTTCACCTATATCCAGGGGGCGGCCGATGATGAGGAGGACTGGGCCGGGGGTTTGACCGCAGATCTATTTTGGAAACACTATGAAGTATGACCAGTGTGTAGTAGTGTGTCTAATTGTCTGGTGCACACAGCAGGCCTTCTGTTGGGCTTCCAGTACACCTTGCACCGTGAACAGCCGTACAGAGCTTGATACGTTGCGCGCGACAGCCCGTTGTGTACCTCAGCCACGATACATCGGTGTCGTCCCACACAAGACACCATACCGCGTTGAAGTAATAGTAAGATCACATTCGTACCGCTGCTGCGGCGCCTTTCGAGTTGTCGCGAGTGGAGTTCACGGGTTTACAGGTTTACAGGTTTACAGGTTACAGGTTTACAGCAAGGGTATTATTTGATGTTCGCTATCTGCGATCACTTGATTCCGGTACAGGGCCCAATCAGAGGCGCGTATACGAGTGCTTCTTGTTATTATGGTGAATGATTTCGAGCGACTCGGTGCACACTGGCATACGATGCATTTGTTTACAGATCATGTGTATTTGGTATATGTCTATTGCCCCAGAATACTAGGGAAGATTAAACCCTAAACCCTAAAACCGTATAACCCCTATACGTATACGGATACACCTGGCTAACATCCAGTTCCGTTTAGCACCTCCTGCATGCAATCGGGCGCCCCCGCGCTCATAAACACACCCAACAGAACACCTCATAAACAGGACACCTCATAAACAGGACACCTTATAAACAGAACACCTCATAAACAGAACACCTTATAAACAGAATACCTCATAAACAGAACATCTCATAAACATAACACCTCATAAACAGAACACCTTATAAACAGAATACCTCATAAACAGAACACCTTATAAATAGAACACCTTATAAACAGAACACCCTATAAACAGAACACTTCATGAACAGAACACCTCATGAACAGAACACCTTATAAACAGGACACCTCATGAATAGAATACCTTATAAACAGAACACCTCATAAACAGAACACCGTATAAACAGAACACCTCATAAACAGAACACCTTAAAAACAGAACACCTCATAAACAGCACACCTGTTAAACAGAACGCCTCATAAACAGAACACCTTATAAACAGGACACCTCATAAACAGAACACCTTATAAACAGAACACCTCATAAACAGAACACCTTGTAAACAGAACACCTTCTAAACAGAACACCTTATAAACAGAACACCTCATAAACAGAATACTGACACGCCCACACCACACATCCATAGGCAATCATGGCCTGTCGACACGAAGGCGAGCTCAGCGCATTGCTCGCTCGTATGCACCACCCGCCTGCAGCAACGCCAGTTTCCAATCAGACTACGACCACAGCCGCTGAGAAACCGGGGCAAAGACTCACCTCAGCCACAACACGCCAGCCTATAGCTATTGGGAGGACGGGCATGTACGTGTGCGACGCCTCGACCCTGAGCGGGTCGGTGCAGGTGCACTCTGTTTCGGGTACTGAGCCGGCGTCCGTAGAGTGCTGTTGGAATGGGGTGCGTGAAAGGAATACAGTGGATGCCGGTATGGGAGGCCAGGTGGAGACGGGGCAGGGGCTGTCCAGTGCACCTGGGCACGGCAGAAAGGGACTCCCTGGGTGTGGCTGTACTGCGGAGAGTATATATTCGTATGATGCGGTGGTGGAGTTCTATGTGGGCCAGAGTGCCACCGAAGTCTGGGCCGCAGGTGAGGCTGGCGAGGCCATAGATAAACTAACTATCTCAGACGATCCAACGCCAGTCGGTAGGGGGGCGACGGTGGATACGGCTGCTGGCAGGGCTGCACTAACAGGCACCAGTCCACCACATCCCAACACAGTGCGGGTGCGGCTGGTCGAAGCGAAAGCGGACGTTCAGACCCTTGAGCAGTTCTTGCGGGGGAGTGCCATGTGGTTTGTGCGTGACGCGCTGCGGAGAGGTGGCAAGGTGTTGATCAGCTGCCCCAGTGGTTCCGGGCCATCGGTGATGCTGGTGCTGTGTGTGCTGTGTGCGTACTACCACGAAGGATATACGGCTATCAGACACACGTGCGATGGGGATGAGGATGGGGAGGGGGAGGGTAGGCAACAGCCTGTGACCAAGGTGGATGTCAACCAGGCTCTGATATATATAGAGCGGTTCCATCCGGAGGTGGCGCGGCTGAAGAAGATGTACCTCAAGATAGCGAACCGGTGTCTTATGTCTGCCAGCAGGTAGTAGGTAGTATGCCCCACGTGGGTGGGCAGGCATGTGTATATTGCACGCAAGTGAGTAGATGTACTAGGAAAGAGGTTGTCTCGAGGTCTGATTGAAACGGGCAGAGAGTGTCTCCAGGGAGATGTACCGCAAAAGAGCTAACCGGCGTGTCTCTGCCAGCAGGTAGTACGCCCACGTGAGTGGATGGGTAAGTGAATATTACGCGTAAGTGAGTAGATGCACGCGGAGAGAGTCTGCCTCAAGCTGTAGGTGAAACGGTTAGGGAGTGCAGCCGTTGTTAAAAACAGGAACTTGTACCTTGAAATAGCTAGCTGGCGTCTTATATCTGGCAGCAGGCAGTACACCCACATGAATGGGCAGGTACGTGACTATTGCGTGCAAGGGAGTAGATGCACCTGGAGGGAGTATAGCTCAGAGGTGTAGCAGTTGCGGCGATAGGACTGGGAGATCACACAGCGTATTGGCGCAGAAATCAATCACGGCGCACGGTATCACATCAGTACGTTCGGAGAACTGTACAGAGACGCACTCTAGTAGGTACTAGCTCTAGTGCGACAGATTGCTACACATTACATTCGACTCTCGTTTGGTGTAGTTTCCGTGAGGTCATTGAATAGTGAGTACAGTGTTATAGTTGTTGTCGGGAAATCGGTTTGTCGGGAAAGTCCGCCAGGAGAGATAATCGATACACTCTCATAGGAGTATCACACTGGCCTTTAGATTCTGCTTTAGATAATAGTTTATAAATTAATTTATCTGCTATGAATACTCTTCCAATAGATTAATCTGCTATAAACCATAGGGTTCCAATAATGCAGTCTATTTTAATTATACTATTCCAATTAAACACCTGCACAAGCTCCTGAATGGCTGACAAGGTGATTGGTCATTTAGACTACGCATACGAATGAACAAGACGGCGGCCAGGTAGATAATTACATCGCTTTTAGGCTTTTAAGGTTTTAAGATACTGCTTCCCATTTTGTTGCCGTATACCGTGAAAGATAACTAATCATTTCACACGTCACATAGTATTGATTGACATGCCTGCACCCATCGGCCCTTCCTGCAATCCGCTCTATGGACAACGTCGTCTGCCCTAAATGTCTCTAGAACGACCCGCACCTTTCCTATCAGGACCACTTCACCGATCTCTTACCTGCGCACCCTTGTCCTGGATGAATTGGGTAAGGACTGCGGCGAGTAGTCCAAGCATAGCCACCCACTCTTGTTGAGAACTCTCTACGAGTCCTAGAACCCAGTGACCTGGCCTGCGGCAAGCCTCATCCTTGTACTTGTCCTTCTCCATCCTCAAGAGGTGCATCAATCGAGGCCGTGAGGACTTAATTGGCGACGGAGAGGGCATACGCGGCCGTTGTTAGGCACTGGAGTGCTAGCCGTAGTTGCCGCGCACGTGAGCCACAGGCCTCTACTAAATTGTACCGCCCATAGCGTAGACCAGTTTGCAATAAACGTCAACGTTTATAGTTGAGCTACCTAAATTGTAGCTGACTACACAGGGGCGGCCCATATAGCTAGCTACACGACATACTTTGCACGCCAACACTCAACTAATTGAGCAATGTCTCAGTTTTGGCTCGGCTACGCAGCGACAAACCCTTATAGCTACATGCCATAAATAGTAGTAACCGGGGTATAGGTACAGGACCACAGGACTTTCTATTGCAGAGAGCTTTCCAAAGGTTGCTCTGGGGTCCGACCAATATATTCTATTTGACCTACATATTCTACTCCAATACAGGTGTATGTATTCTATTTGACCTATATATTCTACTCCAATACAGGTGTATGTATTCTATTTGGCCTATATATTCTACTCTAATATCGACGTATATACTCTATTTGGACTATATGTTATATTCTAACACCGGCTTATGTATTCTACTTCGCTGTGGTTTAGGGCTATGTTTGGGGACTAGTATAGTATGTTATCGGCCCTTTTTGAGCAAACTAACCTGCATGGCTACCCTGGTATATGTTCCAGAGAATTGAGAGGTCAACGTTCGATCCGATTCTCCTCTTCCACTACTGTTCCCGATAACAAGTTAGAGAAGAAAGAGGTCCGGAGGCCTGTAGGTATTCCAAGCGTACTACGGGACAATGTTCGTGCACATGCAGCTGTGTGTTGTATGCCGATGCCTAAGCGACTGAAGTGTACCGAACATCTGGGCAGGATGAACGGCTGTGTGTTTGGTGCGGCGTTGCAGTGTAGGATAGTCAGGTGTACCCACACCTCCACCGCCTATATTGTCTACCTCAGCCCTTCAACTTCTCATCCGGTCCAAACATCGAGTTCGCACACGCGCCTTTAGGCCTAGTTCTCCGGAACACGTACCACACACACCACACCACAACTAAACACCAGAAAAGCCACCGGGAGTGGGACTGACGGTCCGTAGCATAGCGCTCACTGGTTGCATTGTAGCTTGTTGCGTCGATTTGATAAGGGGTCTCTCGCGACTGTAGAGCAGCACGTACCACTTGTTCCAGCTCAGCGATATCTACTATCTGATCCCTTCCTCTGTGTGGGTGTGAGCGTGAAGATGTGTTAATATGTGCCAATTTGTGCGTGTAGGATGTCAGTTGATTTATCTCCCTCTTTCTATGCGTGAGTGCGAACATGGGAAGTGTGTTAATCTGTTTCAGTTTATATGCATAGAATGTCAGTTATCTGATCTTTCCCCCTGTGTGAATGCGAACACGACCAGTGTGTAAATATGTGCCAACTTGAGTATAATGTCAAACTGTGACATCTCTGTATGTGTGGATATGACCATGAGGACTGTACCAATATGTGGCAATGTATACGCGATGCCCCCCCATGCAGATGTGGACAAGTTATGAGTCGGTAGCGCGTGCGAGGCTATATGTATTTGCGTCGATGGGTGGGGCAATTGTGGGTTGTACGTCGGATCTAATGGGTTTTAGATTTAGGGTCTTTAGGGTTTAGAGTTTTAAGAGTTTCTACAACCCAAAACCACACATACCTAAGTGATAAATACACTGCTGAGACCTAGGCAACCACCCGATCCTAAAGTTCTACTTATTTAGCATTCCCTGGTGCCGATATGTCTAGCATCACCATAGCGCAGCTCGTGCTCATCTAAACTATTTGTAACAGAACGATTCTGAGTTGGCACAAGTATTAATGCTATACAAAACGATCCCCATCAAAATGCAACGCAACCTAGCTACCAGCCTTCCGCTTCAGTCCACCTATACCCTAACGTAGCACCCCGAAGGAACAGTATACCTATAGTAGTCGGAGTCACCCTCACTCTCGAGGGACCGGTAGGTATGCACCGTGTTCTCCGGACGTGTGTTGATCCAGTGGAAGTACCGCACTTGCAATACACGCATGAGATTGCGATAACCCCACTTTTGGAACCCGTACGTCTGTAGCTCAATGACGACGGCCTCGGGGTTGAGCCACATGGTATTGGCCATCCCTGCGCCGTGCATGCCTATGAACACCCCTGAACGACGCGTACGGATGATCTGTGGTGGTAGTTTGGAGATCCAGGGTTGTGGGGTTGTAGGGTTGTAGACTTTAGGTATCTTTCTAGAGTTCTAAAGCCCAGGTGAAAAAAATCTGGTTTCGCGAATGGATGTGATAGGGGTGGAGTTATTAGACAGGTGTAGGCGAAATCTTTGTATTTATCGCGACGGCGTTTCTTCCGTGTGAAACTTGAAAAGAAGCCGACATTAATGAGTCTTCTAAAATTCTGAGAAGCGTAGACAGGCAAAACCAGGGGTGAGACATGTCCGGGCTGTATGTCCAGAACATGCAATACTTGCGAATAGGTGACACCGAGAGACATTGAATATGGCTGTAAACAAGAACTCTTGGGTTTCATGTTTAGGGTTTACTCGCCAACGTTGCATTTTGCGCAGCAAGAGAAGAGCACCGACGTGCTACGATCGGAGACAATCAGCGTATCTTGGTTTGCATTCAATATGTGGTTATGCACTGGGATATTAGGGTTTAAGGTTTTAGGGTTGAGGAAAACCCCTATGCACTGGGAACACCAGACTGGTGTATATCACGAACAAAATACCATCCAAGCGAAAGAAACCAGCTACTGCTCGCATACCCACTTGTTCATAGTCACTGATGGCAGCAAAGTCTACCATATCAACGGTCAGCCCGAAGCTCTCCAGCAGCGAGACCACTGCAGCCTGTGATACGTGACAGACAAGATCAATAGTATAAGATTAATGTTCTAAGATCAATAGTCAAAATCAACAGTTTACGATCAATAGTCTAAAAATCAATAGTTTAAGATCAATAGTCTAAGATCAATAATCTAAGATCAATAGTCTAAAATTAACAGTTTAAGATCGATAGTCTAAGATCAATGGTCTAAGATCAATAGTCTAAGTTCAATTGTATAAGATCAATAGTCTAAAACCAACAGTTTAAGTTCAATGGTCTAAGATCAATAGTCTAAGATCAATAGTATAAGATCAATAGAGTAAGATCAATAGAGTAAGATCAATAGTCTAAGATCAATAGTCTAAGATCAATAGTCTAAGATTAATAGGCTAAGATCAATAGTCTAAGATCAATAGTATAGAACCAACAGTTTAAGATCAATAGTATAATATCGATAGTCAAGTGGCGAGTATTATAGTTGGTCTCACCGTAGTGTACTGGTGTATTCATGGGTTGGTGATGCACACTCGGACAGCAAGGTGGCTCGTATAGCGGACAGTCGTGCGAAGTCACGGAATCATGAAATGATTAGGTACTCAGTAGAGGCTGATTGCCATGAAACCACATGTTGATGGTCCATTATATAACAAGAAAAAATACAACCAACCAACCCACTTACTTCATTCAGTATCCGCCGGAAGGTTCTATGCTCTCTGCGGCCCTGCCGTCTTGTTATCAGCAGACATCTGTTCTTATCCATCGGAATGCTTGAAACATTGTACGCCTTGTGTAGCAATGTTTGGAACCTGATTGGATCACACACACAGAGAGACACACAAACACACACACACACATACAAATATATATATATATATATATATTATATATATATATATGAGAGGAATTGGTTTAGTCGTATGGGTGCCCAAAACACTATGGGTCACACCAAGTGACAATCTAAGTCTGTATAGCTAAATCGCGACTGTTAACAATGTCTACCATTGAAATGATACAGAAAACTTTGCAGAGCCGGGGGATGTAGATAATTTTGAAACAAGCAGGAGCCTAATAATATGAAGTCCCGAAATACAAAAAGATTATACAAAAGTATTTTTCATAAAAATTGACCAATGGCTTGAACAAGATGGTATGACTGCGATTATTTAGCATGCGTACATACACCCACAGATATACCCAAAGATACGCCACTGGTAAATATGCATACAAACAATCAATCATACACGTACAATCACACAATGTATTAAAATCAAACCCCTGCACACCTTGGAGCCAGGTCGACCAGTGCTTTAAGATTGAACTTATGGTACGGACTGTTCTGTATATAGCGGCTGCTAAGATACGCCTCCATGGATTCCGCCTGCTGGAGAGATGCCGTGAGATTGGCGTCGTACTGAAGAAATAGATTCTTGAAGCAAACTACCCGCTCTTTGGTGTCACTGTATGTCATTAGGGTGAATGGGAGCGAGCGTGTATGAGTATATTTATATCAGGTATACGGGTATGTGGGCATGCTCATATGCTAAGCAAACCGTCAAAACTAGGTACACCATCGAAATTGTTCGTCTATGTTTGAAAGTGTTATATAATTTGGTAATTCAGAATCGAAGTATTATGGGGATATCCTTGCATCCCTATGCGGATACATCATACATATGCAATTCGCATCATCCTCATACACACCACTACTTGTGAAGGATAATTTATCGTACCTAGTACAGTATCAACTAAAAAAAGGTTAATATTCAAATGTGTATGTATCACTCCACCAACCCCTTCAATGTACAAGTTTCCGTGAGACTCTCGAGAACACACATGTAGCGCATATACCATTGACCATCTCATTTACTCCTTCTTTCATATTCAAAACACACCTCAACGCCGAAGGAAACGTTCCCAAAGGTTCGTCCTTATAAGTGAACACGTCAAACAATGTAGCCTGCTTCGTTTCGAAGTAGTGTAGGCTTCGTAGGGCTTCAACTCCATCGCCGTAGTGTGTCATGTAAAGTATGTGGTAAAAATCTTTCTTCGAGCGCTCCTCGATGGACTTCAGCAAACACAGCGCTGCCCAGGCAACGACAACAGTTCCGTAATGTATAAACTAGGGCTCGTTTTCAGCAAACTTTGCTCGACGAGACATAATTCAGAGTTACTTCGGATACACGTAGCTCAAGGTGATTCCTACTACGCGGACATTTGAGAGATACTATGCTACTGAATTTTTAATTATGTCCCTCCTGATAGTTGCACATATATTAGGCAGAAACTCGACGCCAAAAATGTCAAATAAAGTAACTCAGCATGCTCATTTGATTTAGACTAGTTGTATGCACTGCATTGAGACATTGCTTGCCTTACCCATTAAGCTCAGCAACCAGACAGAACGCTGCTAGCTATATATATATATATATATATATATAAATATATATAGTATTA